CGTCTGCCTGGCTGGGTGCGTGGTAGGGTATGCGGGTGGGTGATTTGTCTACCCCCCCCTAACCTTTGTCCTGCTAGCAGTGGAGGTGTAAAGGTTGTCTGCTGTGGCCGTGGTTGGATGTGACCACCAACGAAATCCACGAGCTGCCTGCGTGCAGTTGTGTTTTCGAGCTTCGGTCGTCATTCAGGGGGATCGTTATCCCTATTTATAACTTTGGTGCTCGCTGCCCAAGTTGAGCTTTTCTGCTGGGTTGAGACTCTGGCCGCATGGGCCCGCCCGTCATGGTTGGGGATTCGGCCGTGGCAAGGTTAGGTTCTGTGTGCGCATTGATCGAAGTGTTCGCCTTAGAGACTTGCTACATTTGAGGCCTGTGTGGGTTTGAGAGAGTTGGAATCTGAGTGTGAAGGGCACGAATACTGGTGGGCGAGCCTCGTTAGCTTAGTGGTAGAGCGTTCCCTTCGTAAGGGAAAGGTCTTGAGTTCAATCCTCAAACGGGGCAACAAATGGTTTGGTGTCCATACTTGCAGCAGCTTGCCTGCACTTGGTCACCGAATGCGCACAGAGTAGTCCGTGTTATCTAATATAATTCCAGGATAGAACGTACTGAGATATCCTCTCATGCTACTAAAAGCCAATGGAGACTGCTGAGGCACCGTCTGCCTGGCTGGGTGCGTGGTAGGGTATGCGGGTGGGTGATTTGTCTACCCCCCCCTAACCTTTGTCCTGCTAGCAGTGGAGGTGTAAAGGTTGTCTGCTGTGGCCGTGGTTGGATGTGACCACCAACGAAATCCACGAGCTGCCTGCGTGCAGTTGTGTTTTCGAGCTTCGGTCGTCATTCAGGGGGATCGTTATCCCTATTTATAACTTTGGTGCTCGCTGCCCAAGTTGAGCTTTTCTGCTGGGTTGAGACTCTGGCCGCATGGGCCCGCCCGTCATGGTTGGGGATTCGGCCGTGGCAAGGTTAGGTTCTGTGTGCGCATTGATCGAAGTGTTCGCCTTAGAGACTTGCTACATTTGAGGCCTGTGTGGGTTTGAGAGAGTGGGAAACTGAGTGTGAAGGGCACGAATACTGGTGGGCGAGCCTCGTTAGCTTAGTGGTTGAGCGTTCCCTTCGTAAGGGAAAGGTCTTGAGTTCAATCCTCAAACGGGGCAATAAATGGTTTGGTGTCCATACTTGCAGCAGCTTGCCTGCGCTTGGATGGTCACCGAATGCGCACAGAGTAGTCCGTGTTATCTAATATAATTCCAGGATAGAACGTACTGAGATATCCTCTCATGCTACTAAAAGCCAATGGAGACTGCTGAGGCACCGTCTGCCTGGCTTGGTGCGTGGTAGGGTATGCGGGTGGGTGATTTGTCTACCCCCCCCTAACCTTTGTCCTGCTAGCAGTGGAGGTGTAAAGGTTGTCTGCTGTGGCCGTGGTTGGATGTGACCACCAACGAAATCCACGAGCTGCCTGCGTGCAGTTGTGTTTTCGAGCTTCGGTCGTCATTCAGGGGGATCGTTATCCCTATTTATAACTTTGGTGCTCGCTGCCCAAGTTGAGCTTTTCTGCTGGGTTGAGACTCTGGCCGCATGGGCCCGCCCGTCATGGTTGGGGATTCGGCCGTGGCAAGGTTAGGTTCTGTGTGCGCATTGATCGAAGTGTTCGCCTTAGAGACTTGCTACATTTGAGGCCTGTGTGGGTTTGAGAGAGTTGGAATCTGAGTGTGAAGGGCACGACTACTGGTGGGCGAGCCTCGTTAGCTTAGTGGTAGAGCGTTCCCTTCGTAAGGGAAAGGTCTTGAGTTCAATCCTCAAACGGGGCAACAAATGGTTTGGTGTCCATACTTGCAGCAGCTTGCCTGCGCTTGGTCACCGAATGCTCACAGAGTAGTCCGTGTTATCTAATATAATTGCAGGATAGAACGTACTGAGATATCCTCTCATGCTACTAAAAGCCAATGGAGGCTGCTGAGGCACCGTCTGCCTGGCTGGGTGCGTGGTAGGGTATGCGGGTGGGTGATTTGTCTACCCCCCCTAACCTTTGTCCTGCCAGCAGTGGAGGTGTAAAGGTTGTCTGCTGTGGCCGTGGTTGGATGTGACCACCAACGAAATCCACGAGCTGCCTGCGTGCAGTTGTGTTTTCGAGCTTCGGTCGTCATTCAGGGGGATCGTTATCCCTATTTATAACTTTGGTGCTCGCTGCCCAAGTTGAGCTTTTCTGCTGGGTTGAGACTCTGGCCGCATGGGCCCGCCCGTCATGGTTGGGGATTCGGCCGTGGCAAGGTTAGGTTCTGTGTGCGCATTGATCGAAGTGTTCGCCTTAGAGACTTGCTACATTTGAGGCCTGTGTGGGTTTGAGAGAGTTGGAATCTGAGTGTGAAGGGCACGAATACTGGTGGGCGAGCCTCGTTAGCTTAGTGGTAGAGCGTTCCCTTCGTAAGGGAAAGGTCTTGAGTTCAATCCTCAAACGGGGCAACAAATGGTTTGGTGTCCATACTTGCAGCAGCTTGCCTGCGCTTGGTCACCGAATGCGCACAGAGTAGTCCGTGTTATCTAATATAATTCCAGGATAGAACGTACTGAGATATCCTCTCATGCTACTAAAAGCCAATGGAGACTGCTGAGGCACCGTCTGCCTGGCTGGGTGCGTGGTAGGGTATGCGGGTGGGTGATTTGTCTACCCCCCCCTAACCTTTGTCCTGCTAGCAGTGGAGGTGTAAAGGTTGTCTGCTGTGGCCGTGGTTGGATGTGACCACCAACGAAATCCACGAGCTGCCTGCGTGCAGTTGTGTTTTCGAGCTTCGGTCGTCATTCAGGGGGATCGTTATCCCTATTTATAACTTTGGTGCTCGCTGCCCAAGTTGAGCTTTTCTGCTGGGTTGAGACTCTGGCCGCATGGGCCCGCCCGTCATGGTTGGGGATTCGGCCGTGGCAAGGTTAGGTTCTGTGTGCGCATTGATCGAAGTGTTCGCCTTAGAGACTTGCTACATTTGAGGCCTGTGTGGGTTTGAGAGAGTGGGAAACTGAGTGTGAAGGGCACGAATACTGGTGGGCGAGCCTCGTTAGCCTAGTGGTAGAGCGTTCCCTTCGTAAGGGAAAGGTCTTGAGTTCAATCCTCAAACGGGGCAATAAATGGTTTGGTGTCCATACTTGCAGCAGCTTGCCTGCGCTTGGTCACCGAATGCGCACTGAGTAGTCCGTGTTATCTAATATAATTACAGGATAGAACGTACTGAGATATCCTCTCATGCTACTAAAAGCCAATGGAGACTGCTGAGGCACCGTCTGCCTGGCTTGGTGCGTGGTAGGGTATGCGGGTGGGTGATTTGTCTACCCCCCCTAACCTTTGTCCTGCTAGCAGTGGAGGTGTAAAGGTTGTCTGCTGTGGCCGTGGTTGGATGTGACCACCAACGAAATCCACGAGCTGCCTGCGTGCAGTTGTGTTTTCGAGCTTCGGTCGTCATTCAGGGGGATCGTTATCCCTATTTATAACTTTGGTGCTCGCTGCCCAAGTTGAGCTTTTCTGCTGGGTTGAGACTCTGGCCGCATGGGCCCGCCCGTCATGGTTGGGGATTCGGCCGTGGCAAGGTTAGGTTCTGTGTGCGCATTGATCGAAGTGTTCGCCTTAGAGACTTGCTACATTTGAGGCCTGTGTGGGTTTGAGAGAGTTGGAATCTGAGTGTGAAGGGCACGAATACTGGTGGGCGAGCCTCGTTAGCTTAGTGGTAGAGCGTTCCCTTCGTAAGGGAAAGGTCTTGAGTTCAATCCTCAAACGGGGCAACAAATGGTTTGGTGTCCATACTTGCAGCAGCTTGCCTGCGCTTGGTCACCGAATGCGCACAGAGTAGTCCGTGTTATCTAATATAATTCCAGGATAGAACGTACTGAGATATCCTCTCATGCTACTAAAAGCCAATGGAGACTGCTGAGGCACCGTCTGCCTGGCTGGGTGCGTGGTAGGGTATGCGGGTGGGTGATTTGTCTACCCCCCCCTAACCTTTGTCCTGCTAGCAGTGGAGGTGTAAAGGTTGTCTGCTGTGGCCGTGGTTGGATGTGACCACCAACGAAATCCACGAGCTGCCTGCGTGCAGTTGTGTTTTCGAGCTTCGGTCGTCATTCAGGGGGATCGTTATCCCTATTTATAACTTTGGTGCTCGCTGCCCAAGTTGAGCTTTTCTGCTGGGTTGAGACTCTGGCCGCATGGGCCCGCCCGTCATGGTTGGGGATTCGGCCGTGGCAAGGTTAGGTTCTGTGTGCGCATTGATCGAAGTGTTCGCCTTAGAGACTTGCTACATTTGAGGCCTGTGTGGGTTTGAGAGAGTGGGAAACTGAGTGTGAAGGGCACGAATACTGGTGGGCGAGCCTCGTTAGCTTAGTGGTTGAGCGTTCCCTTCGTAAGGGAAAGGTCTTGAGTTCAATCCTCAAACGGGGCAATAAATGGTTTGGTGTCCATACTTGCAGCAGCTTGCCTGCGCTTGGTCACCGAATGCGCACTGAGTAGTCCGTGTTATCTAATATAATTGCAGGATAGAACGTACTGAGATATCCTCTCATGCTACTAAAAGCCAATGGAGACTGCTGAGGCACCGTCTGCCTGGCTTGGTGCGTGGTAGGGTATGCGGGTGGGTGATTTGTCTACCCCCCCCTAACCTTTGTCCTGCTAGCAGTGGAGGTGTAAAGGTTGTCTGCTGTGGCCGTGGTTGGATGTGACCACCAACGAAATCCACGAGCTGCCTGCGTGCAGTTGTGTTTTCGAGCTTCGGTCGTCATTCAGGGGGATCGTTATCCCTATTTATAACTTTGGTGCTCGCTGCCCAAGTTGAGCTTTTCTGCTGGGTTGAGACTCTGGCCGCATGGGCCCGCCCGTCATGGTTGGGGATTCGGCCGTGGCAAGGTTAGGTTCTGTGTGCGCATTGATCGAAGTGTTCGCCTTAGAGACTTGCTACATTTGAGGCCTGTGTGGGTTTGAGAGAGTGGGAAACTGAGTGTGAAGGGCACGAATACTGGTGGGCGAGCCTCGTTAGCTTAGTGGTTGAGCGTTCCCTTCGTAAGGGAAAGGTCTTGAGTTCAATCCTCAAACGGGGCAACAAATGGTTTGGTGTCCATACTTGCAGCAGCTTGCCTGCGCTTGGTCACCGAATGTGTACAGAGTAGTCCGTGTTATCTAATATAATTCCAGGATAGAACGTACTGAGATATCCTCTCATGCTACTAAAAGCCAACGGAGACTGCTGAGGCACCGTCTGCCTGGCTTGGTGCGTGGTAGGGTATGCGGGTGGGTGATTTGTCTACCCCCCCTAACCTTTGTCCTGCTAGCAGTGGAGGTGTAAAGGTTGTCTGCTGTGGCCGTGGTTGGATGTGACCGACCCTATTGCACCGACGAACCTGGGGCCACTTCACTACACTTCATTATGAGGACCTTACCATTGTCCCCGAGTGGCATGCTCAATGGAAGACACAGAGGCCGGAACAACCACATCCCAGATACAACGCTTCACACCTAGCTAGGACGTTACCCGTGAAACACGCTGCCCGATGGGTAGCATCGCCAACCGGTCGTTTCTGGCGCCATCCTGCAAGCTCAAAACTGGTGGCGCTGATGAGGATGCGTGGAACCCTCCACCCCATCCTCCTCGGGTAATATCCCAGGTAACTGCGTTGCGTTCCCTCGCCCCGGGCCGTTCTTATTTCCCTCCATCTGTACGGTTCCCGTTCGCCACTCGTTCGCCGTGTGTGTGATTCCCATGCACGGGCACCAAAGAAGCGGCCAACTAACCCTCATCATGCCCTAACCCACCTCGTCCTATCGAGAGGTACTTCCCTCCATACACCCCACCGTTCCCACTGCGCAAAATTGCACAATCCCCGTGCGCCCTCATTGGCCCAACATCGGCTAGGCTCACACTGAAGTAAACATCACCGAGGCTGTTAAAAGGGCTTAAAACAACGCCACATTGCAAGGAAAACAACAATAACCCGGACAGCAGCAAGGCGCGATGAAAAGTTGCCCGCCATCCACCAAACCATGCACTCGCTTTATGACATCACACTTCATCGATAATCAGCTAGCCATAGTCTGCTCTGCGTGTCTCTCCTTTGTTCGCTGGGTAACCACGCATCCAGAATGTCCCCCCTTTCATCAATTGGCAAACAATTGCATCATCCCGGAAGGACCCCCGAGGCCACCGCAGCAGCCCAACCACAGATAGCTTACACCAAAAACGCTTGCCCCGCGCGCTAGCTGCATTTTTTGTTCTCACTTGTGCGCTTGGGGCGGGCGCGCGAGGCTAAGCGTCAGCACTTCCGTCAGGCGGCCAATGTCGCGCTGCAGCAAGGTAATTTGCTCCGCGAGGGGCCGCTCGGAGTTCCCGGCCGCCGGGAACCCCTCCCCGCCGCCACCTCCGTCGCCGCCGTCACCGCGGCCGCCAGTGTCTTCGAGTGCTGACGCCAGGCGCCCGAGCTCACGCGGCAGAGCCCGGTTCTGCACCGTCAGCAGGGGAGGAATCGGCACCATGCATGAGCCTTTGCTTGGTTGTGCTTAGGTCCGAGCTCTGCTGTTTCTGCTTTCAGGAGGCAAACTGAAAACAGCGTATGTATGCACGGCGCGCGTGATATATACACATGTACAGGACCAAGGTCATCGCGAAGTAAGACGGTATGGCAACGCCCACTGTGCACATTGGCTTTGCAGCCGGCTTGACAAGCCATGCCCAGGGGAAGAATCATGCAAGTATATAATAAAAATGTATAAGTTGTAACTGCTGCTGCGGTGGCTGCTGCTGTATGGGAAGCAAAGATCCGCTAGCGAAGCTCACAGCAGTTCGCGGCCGTGCTCGTTAGCCTAGCGAGCGAGCTCGCCAATTTCTATCATGCAGGCGTACCTCCGTCAGGCGTGCGACATCGCGTTGCAGCGCCTTGATCGGTTCCAAGACGCTGGCCACAATCTGGCTGTGCAACTCCTTCTTGACGTCGTTCAGGTCCACGTTCAGGGCCTGCAATTGCACAACCAGGGACGAATGAAGAATCAAGCAGTCCATTCACTTCGATCGGCCATTTAATCGCATTAACCTATTTCAACAGCTATGAATCCGGCGACGGGCTAGAAAGTTTACACTGGACCGTAAGCCCGAGCGTGGGTTAAGGGAACAGACTGATGCCTCTTCGGCGGGTACTTTCAGCCCATTACCGCGGTGACCGCCTTTTTGACTAAGATGGGTTGCTTCTCCCACCCACTCCGTGTCTGGGCTCCGTCTCACTCGGATCACATCTGGGTACCCGCACGCACTTTTCCCAGATATGCCAGACACATCATTGTTGAACATTCAACCGTGATGAGTTCTACCAGTGCAGGGGACAGGGACATGGTCCATGAGCCATGCGATCACCTGCTGTTCGTTCCCACACCAGGGCCCCCATCGGTCACCCAGCCCTCTGCGAAGGCCGGGATCGAACTGGTGACCTCTCGGTCACCAATTTAGTGCCCTAACTCTCAGGCACTCCTAGGGGATGGCGACGGGCTATTATATATATAGCTACGACCGACGCCTCGCAAACTAATATGGCTTACAAATAGAAAACTTCTGGCCTTGCAAACAACTTGGCACGCAAAGAAGTGTGAGCAGTGCGGTAGAATGATGCTGCAAATGTGCTGCATGCCAGCTGTTGTTTCGGTGCAAAGCAGGCCATTGCCATCATCGTTATGTCGGCAAGTACGCAAGGACGCCGCAAGCGCCTGCAAGGAAAACCTGGTCAGCAGGGTGATTTGCTACGGTGGTGCATGACCGGATTTTTCAAGCGACGATAGCGAGAAAAGCACAACAAAGTCGAGTGACGAGGTCAGATAGATACAATCTACATATTACTGGCCTGGCGCGCCTCTGTGCCCCCTTGAACGACTTCCAGCAGCGATGCTCCATCGGGGCTGGAGGTCCGCTTGGTGTTGATTACTTGGAGCCAGCGGGGCGCGGACCTGAGGGACCAGTGGAATGGAGCAGCGGTCATACTGGCGTGGACAGCACGCATATAAGCAACTGCAGAAGCTAATCCTGGTTTCGCTGAGATTGTGACGATTTCTCAACAGACGGGAGACAGTAATGATGAATTCGTATGGAAACCCGGCCCGGGGCATGGCGGCTGTGGCTGGATGTATGTATGGGCCAGCCAGTGTAGTGATGTCGTGCCACGTTCATCGGCTGACCAGTTTCATTGTTGCATGACCACTCACACTTCGCGTCTTTCAAAGAACGAGTCGGGCATATTGGAGTCGATCTCCAGTACAAGCCGCGCCTTGAGCAGCAGCCACTCGCTCTTGGCACACTGCTTGACCACCGTGTAAGTCTCAGACATGATCGCGATGAGCAGGTTGAGCAGGATGATGGACACCAGGAACGAAAAGCTAATCATCAGCACCTGAATGCGTATATATAGTGTTGCATCGAAGCAGGTAAGTCTACAAAACCTGCCGCAGATGTGTACACGCAGGTCGTGCAATGTCGACCAACATATATAGGTTTCACCAGCCATTTTTTGCGGGCAGCAAGGGGCAGCCCGGTGCCTAGTGAAAGTATATACCTATATGCATGTGTGATGATTGAAGACAGGTAAAACAGGTATGTAGACAAACTAGCAATGTATGTATGTCTACCGATAACTTCAACTGGGGTACTGGATGACTCAAAGCCTAACTGCCAACCTCGAAGAATGGCTTGCTTATTAACGCTAACCTCTTCAACTCACGTGCAGGTACATACCAGACGTATTTAGTCTCGCCACCCACATTCGTCGTGAAGCCACTGACAGTCTACAATAGGAAAGTTAAACAGGGGGAGTGTGTGACCGAAATCACGAGAGCTTGGTTGATAGAGAAGCATGTGGATGGCTAGCATGTGGCTCAATAATACTATCTGAACATACAAACAGAAGACAATGTGACGCACCACACATCTGGAACTTCCATGTGTCGGCCCCTGCCAACTGTCTGCATTAAACTTGTTCTGTAATTATACACATGTTTATTTTTTTAATTATACAGTTAGTATACTATTTACTCTACGTCATATATAATTAATTATATATTATATTACCCGCAATATATTATTATTATTATTATTATTATTATTATTATTATTATTATTATTATTATTATTATTATTATTATTATTATTATTATTATTATTATTATTATTATTATTATTATTATTATTATTATTATTATTATTATTATTATTATTATTATTATACCAGTGCTTCGGGAATTTGTTGTAGGGATGATTTTTAAAGTGCCCAGTGGGCACTGGGGCCTTCGAGTCAGTGCCCACTTCCCAAAAAACCGAAGTAAAGTGTTCAAGGAGTTTCTGCACCGCTGCAAATGTTTTTCTAGTGCCCACCGGCAAAACGGTAATTATTTTTACAGTGCCTACATGGGCACCAGTACTGCACTTCCAGAAACACTGCACTGCTGAGTGCTATATCTATCGTACCATGAAATAGTACACTGAAAGCATGCTGTTGGGGAAGTTGTTGAATCCCTGCGTGAACTCGTCTGAGATGCCTGCACCGTCGGGTACCTGGTTTCGTGCAGGTTCACGAGATCAAAAGGAGGATAAGTTCAACGAAGAGATTGGACAAAAACAAGTTGCGACAGAAAAGCCATGGGTGAACAGAGTGATGGATTTGCGGTGGTGCGTGCGGCAAGCTTGGCTTGGTGACTTGATGTATGGCAAATAAAACGAATGCAGAAGAGCCTCATATGATGACGGTCGGATAGTGAACAAAACTACTGCCACTGTGCCCCTGGTTAGAGATATAAGAAGGAGCAGCAAGGACGCATATGTGTGGCAAATATTACAACACTTGTTACTACATTTGTACCATACCATCTTCCCTTACTTGATGTGCGGGTTCGTTCAATACCCCTTAGATAGCACATGTGCACAAAACCAGCAATCACCGCTCGCTTTCGACTTGCTGTTGAAAGATAATAATGGGGCAATGCACACTGCCCTTTCCGGGCCATGAATGCAAGTTCACGGTATGTGCAGCCCGCAACCATACCTGGTGGTAGTAAACCACAATCTGCCGGAATGC